TGATGAAGCTCCCACAACTTCTGAAGGCAACTGCTGTTCCATGGGTTGATCGCTCTCACTGTCAGAAAATTTCTCTTATTTCTAGGTTTAATCTCTCCTTGATCAGTTTCCACCCATTATTCCTTGTCTGTTTTTCAGGTGCCTTGGAAAATAACGTGACCCCCTCCTCTCTGGGGCCACCTCTCAAATATTGGAACATTCCTATCATGATTCCCCTGGTCCTTGTTTTCACTATACTAACCATGTCCAGTTCCTGTAACAATTCTTCATATGTTTTAGCCTCCAGTCCCCTAACCATCCTGATTGCTCTCCTCTGCACTCTTTCTAGAGTGTCAACATCTGTTTGATAGTGAGATGACCAAAACTGTATGCAGTATTCTAGGTGTGGTCTTACTAAGGCTTTATAGAGTGGTATTAGTACCTCCCTTGATCTTGATTGAATCCTTCTGTTAATGAAATTTAGGATTGCATTGGTTTTTTGGCTGCCATTGCACACTGTTGGCTCATATTTAATTGGTTGTCCACTAAGACTCCAAGATCCCTCTCACCCCTATTAAACCTGGTTTCTCCCAATCTGTATGTGTACTTTTCGTTTTTCTTGTCTTAGTGTAAGACATTACTTTTCTCTACATTGAATTTGATTTTGTTAGTTAGGGCCCAGTGTTCTAGTCTGTCAAGATCCATCTGGATCTTGAGCTTAACAAGATTGGGGTGTTGGCTATTCCTGCCAGCTTAGTATCATCTGCAAATTTTATACGTTCCCCTTCTATTCCCTCATCTAAGTTGTTTATGAAGATATTGAAGAGTACTGGGCCTAAGACGAAACTTTGTAGTACGCCACTGCTTCCTTCCTTCCATGTAGATGTAGTATTGTTAAGGACTACTCATTGAGTACGGTGTGTCAGCCATATATTAATAAGGAAGGCTATTTCACAATAACCTTCCTTATTCATATTCCTGGTAGCAAGGCAATTTCATGCTTTCTTCTCGAAAGTATATTATTTCATAAGAAATTAAGCTAGGAGTGGTATGGGGTCCTAAGGCAAAGATCCATGTGCAAGAAGAATATATTTGATTGGGGTCTCAGTGTTGAAAAAGATGCTATGCTGTTTCTTAGGCTACAATGTCCAGCAGAAAGCAGAGATTTAAGAACTAAGAATACTCCTAAGTGAATCATAAACAATGTCACAATTTTTCCTAGAATCAAGTCTTTATTTTTGGTGGTCTTTTAAAATAGAATAGAATAACAGGGGCTGGAAGGGACCTTGGAGGTCTTCTAGTCCAACCCACTGCTTAGGCAGGAAACCCTACACCACTTCAGATAAATCATTATCCAACATCTTCTTAAAGACTTCCAGTGTTGGGGCATTCACAACTTCTGGAGGCAAGTTGTTCCACTGATTAATTGTTCTAACTGTCAGGAAATTTTCTGCCAGTGAGAGCGATCAACCCATGGAACAGCAGTTGCCTTCAGAAGTTGTGGGAGCTTCATCACTGGAGATTTTTAAGAAGAGATTGGACTGCCATCTGTTATAAATGGTCGCCTGCTTGGTCTGGGGATTGGACTAGATGACCTACAAGGTCCCTTCCAACTCTGTTATTCTGTTCTGAAATGTCAATGCATTTTAAGATGTAGATGCTATAACTGATAATGTTTTGATAGATGCCAAAAGTATCTTCTTTTTCTAAGTTCCCACACAATTTTCATGGTCAGTTCAGGCTATCCATTTGATAG